ACAAATGCCTTTAACGTTTAAACGGTTGAATGAGGTAAGAGGATTGAGGTAGGCTTGAATCGGATTTTCTTCTGCTTGTCGGTAGTTTAGGTTGAAGTTAATTTCGCGAGCTGACCATAATCATTTAACCCGCGCCCAGTTAGGCTCTGCCGAGCAACGCGCCCGGTTGGGGGGGGGCATTTTGGCCCCCCCCCCCCCCTAAGATCTCGAGAACCACGCAACATAGCGACAAGCGGTAAACGGCGTTGTATAGCCCCAACGGGGAACTACCTTGTGACCCAATTTTATTGACCTAGGTCAAACCGATGACGTCACAGGTCAGGTCAAAGGTCCAATTTTCACCGTTTACAGGCATTTCAAGAAATGCGTTGTAAAATCGAGTAAAATGCATTTCATTGAAAATCATCGATGGGGAAATGTTCTTCAAACACATATTTTGCTATTTGAGGTCACTGATACCAGGTCAGGTCACAGAGGTCAGGTCACGGGGGGGTCACAATATGAAAGTGTCGTGTGATGCATGTTTTATGGTCCATTTTGCATGACAAATGCGATTATGTGGGTCAGGCAGCCTTTGGGGCCAGCTTAGGTCACGTTTTGGTCAAGGTCAGGTCAAGGTCAGGTCAAATTAGGTCAAATTTCAAAGTTGATATTTTTGAATAAAATGGGTATCGAATCGATGCAGCTCGTCACGGGGAGTTCAATGATGGCCTTTGTTTTGCCGTACGTGGTCTAGAATCGCTAAAAATTGAGTTCAAAAATTTGACGTCATCATTTTTGAACAGTTTTTTTCGCTATAACTTGGCCAAAAAACGAGATATCGATCTGAAATTTGGTATGTATATAGAAGAGCACTGGGACTATCACATATATTCCAGTTTTTCGAAATTCGGAAAAGTTTGGATTTTTTTCTAGTTTTTCTAAAAAAAATCAATTTTTTGAATTTTTGAGGGTCAAAAACCCAGAATTTAGAAAATCCGAGATAGCAGTTTTGTAGCGCCGCTTTTTTTCTACTAGACCATATAAAGAACTTTAAAATTGCTTGATAACTGTAGATTTGGTGATCGTTTCAAGATTGCATGTTTTTTTCTCATTTTTGCTCGAACATGACCTCAGTTTGACCTCAATAACTTCTGACCTAAGGTGACCTTAGACTTGAAATTTGGTGTGAAGGTGTCAAATTCATGCCCGGGAAGGTGCTGAAAATTTGGCGGCGCTGCGCGCCGCCGTTTTCTTGCTATTCAGGAAAAACCACAGGGGTTAACCCTCGCCCCAACGGGGCGAGGGTTAACAGGGAAAATTCAGCTGCACATCGTTCGGGTCAAAGTAATATCAAACATTCTCAAATTCTGTAGTAAAGAGCCAGTAGTTTACGAATATATTCAAAAAACAAATAGAAAAAGAATAAGCGGACCGGTTTCGTCTATCAACGACTTCTTCGGCGCTTTTTCAAAAAAAAGTATAAGAAAAAAAAACTAGCACAGTGACAATCGTTTGAAATAAAATTGGATTCAACTAAGAACTAAGAACTTCATTGTCCGAAAACCGCTGACAGTTGATAGCTCAATGACACTTAGAGCCGTGCATAAGGAGGCGTGAAAACACTCTCCTCATCTCGTTCTATTACGAGAGGACCATGTCATGGCGTGAGAAAGGTGTTCTCAAAATAAATGACACAATTATATGAGTGAATAAATAATCCGCGCCCCTTGGGCTATTGGCGGACCCTACCACCTGATCGGGTGGTGCAGCCGTTTCGCCTTCCACCTGTGATCTCGGAAAGTTACCGACCGATTTTGAACATTCAAAGAGCGTTCGATAGCCCCACCAGGGAACTACCTTGCTACCAGGTTTTGTTGACCTAGGTGCAACCCATGACGTCACAAGTCAGGTCAAAGGTCGCATTTTTTCACCGATTTAGTTTAAGGAATGCGTTACAGTCAGTTAACACATCAAATAAAAGGCATGTAATCGAAAAACATCGATGGAGCGCTGGTTGTCTAATACATATGTTGCCTAAAGAGGTCATTGATGCCAGGTCAGTTCACAGAGGTCAGGTCACTAAGGGTTGCAATATGAACCCAACTATGCTAGGGTCGTGTGATGCATGTTTTATGGCCAATTTTACATTTATAATTCAATGGTGTGGGCTAGACGGCCATTGGGGCCATTTTAGATTGCATTCTGGTGAAGGTCAGGTCAAGGTCAGGTCAAAGGTCAAATTTGAAAGTTGATATGTTGCATAAAAGGGGTATCTATTCGATGCAGCTCATCACAGGAAATCCAATGGTGGTATTTGGCTTGCTCTGTGTGTTCTGTGACGGCTAAAAATTGAATTTGAAAATTTTACGTAATAAATTTCGAATAGTTTTTTTTTTGGCCATAACTTTCCTAAAAATGGAGCTAACGAGTTTAGGTAAGTTTGGCATATCTAGAGCAGATAGTTCTATAACATATATTTCAGTTTTAATTTTGAAAGTTGTTGGTATTTTCGGGGTGTTTACTTCTATAGTTTTGATGGTCAAAATCAATTTTTGTTTGGAAATGAAGAGTTAGCAGTTTGGTAACGCTGTTTATTTCACATCTTTTTGATTTTGAATATTTTTCGTTATCTTCAAAACTGTAAGCGTGACAGCTCTTCCCGCTAAACCTTTTATTGGGTCAAAAATGACAGAACATGACATCCCTCTGACGTCATTTGTGACTAACCTTTCATAAGAGCTCTGGAAAAATTTTGTCACAAGGTGTAAAAATGATGCCCGGAGGGGTCTTGAAAGTTTGGTGGCGACATTTGCTATACTTTAGGAGATATCGACTGAAAAGGAGAGAGGGGGTATTTCGCGCCGCCCTCCCCCCCTCAACGGGGCTTTCAGTTGCTGCTCTCACAGAACTATTGGTAATATTACAACGTAGTGGAATTGCAAGTGGCAATATAAGCTTCCTGCCAGCGCCGGACCAGAGTTTAAACATGCAGGCTGAATTTTAACAATTAACTTTTGAATTTTTAAACCGTTGAGCTTTTTAGAAGTTGCCTATGAACTGTTCAGCTCCTTTTGTGGTCCATCACAGCGGGCTTGTATGTCATTTGTCAACCAAAATCGAATTAAAAACTTTTTATTTGATCTGGCTACCTCGCCAACTTCTTAACTGGATCGCTTAGTAGCTTTTGATTGGGCACTGCCCACGTTGTCTGTCTAGCTTTTCGTGTCATAGACACTGTCTATGACACGAGAAGAGGGTGCTGACATCGTTTGTCGCGGTTGGATAATACCAATCCACGTCCCAGTGGCTGCTCGATCGCACTTTCCCTGGCCCACCTCTCCCACCAGGCTAGACTTTGCCCGGCACAGCCGTCGCCTCGGTGCCTTGGGCGGTGACCCGTTCAAAGGGGCTCACAATTCGTATGGTGCCGTGGCTCTCAAACCAATACAGAACAGTGAAACGCAAAGGCTCACTTTCCATATAAGGCGAACGGCTGATTCTGGCGCCGGGGCTTCATTCATGCTAAGGCGCCCAATCACAGCGCCGCATTTCAGTTAGTGTCGGGTGCAAAAGCTACTATGCTCCGCCCCTCCATCACGTGACCCTGCCCTCATGTGGCCTCAGTCACGTGGTGTTTCCACTTCTTGGCGCATGGCGGCGCTAGTCTCGCAGGGGCGGTGGTAGCTTGCTCCCCCGCCGTCCGGGGGTGATGGGTAGCAACTGCTGGTGACTGTACGCCGAATCGCGATTCCGGCCAAACATGGTCTCGGAAAATAGGTCACAGGTCAAAGGTCACTTGGATCAGGGTCATGAAATTTTCAGAGTAGGTGTAAAATTGATCAACTCGAGGGTACTGAAAGTTTCGTCTTGATCGGCCGCTTTTTGCGCGAGTTATTTGCGAAAACCCGTGGGGGTCCATCCGACCCCCTACACATGCGAGGGTTTAGAGTGTGTCTTTTAACACAAAAGTTATTGTGTAGAAGGCAACGGTTGTGGGAATGGTAGGTCAATGTACAAATAAAGGCTTGCACAGTATTGATGGTATTGACGATATTTCGGAAAGTTTGGGCCCCCATCTTGTTTGGGCCCTTTTTCTGAAAACCTGCCCCCGCAAGGCGAAATCCGTGGCGCCGTCCCTGACCAAATCACTGTTCTCCTCTGGAAGTCGCCCATTCTGACCGGGAATGGCAAACTATGTTACGATTAATTAGCAGCCTGAACCAATCACAGGGCAGATTGGTTAATGGCTACGTAAGTGAACATCCCAATAACACATCATTGAACACACCGCGTTGCAAGCCCAAATTCCAACTCCTTCATGGTTGGGCCGGGAACTTTTTGAACGCCCCTCGTACCAATTGAGCTATAACGGAACAGGCCTTGATGTGCCTTTCCTCGACAAAGAGAAATTGAAAGCAAGGCTATATAACTGTTGAAAGGTCGAAAGTGATATATCATTTATCAATAAGTGAATTTTCGCCTACAGAGGCCTCTTGCACCAAACTACCTAGCTAGGTAAAATCGAAAAACCGGTTTCAGAATAAGGGTATCTAATGGTGGTTAATTTATTTGCAATAGCCCAATACATAATGCTACATGTGCTTGCTAAATTTTGCACACAAATTGTTACATTTGAGACTTGGACTGGGTAGGTATACGATGCAAAATAATCCAAGCATTGGTGCAAGAGGATTTTGGTGCAAGAGGCCTCAGGTCATCATCAGACTAGTAAACAAATCGGATATCTTGCAGTTGCCGAGTCATAAATGTATAAACATTCAGTTTTCGTGACCTAACGTGATAACTCACGATCATTTGGAGGACTCATGAGTTTCGTGGAGCTGCATCGACGGGAAAAACTGTCTGGCGCCAAGTGATGTTTCTTCATTATTATTCTGCAAAGAATCGCAAAGAGGGCATTGTCCCGAGGGCAAAGTAACCCCGGTATAGGCATCACCTAGGTACTTAGTTACATATACGTACCTATGTGTTTCATGTTGCCTACTATAGGTACTTACAGAAGCGGAATCGTCATGGAATACTCGATAGTTTCATTCATGCAGATGTGTTGCGGCTGAAAATAAGCAAAACGTATGTCATACTCGTATTTCTTTAATAATTAGGTATTCTGTTGGTATTTTGCACATTTGTGTTTGACATCTAGTTGATATTTTTGCATAAAATGGGTATCGATTCGATGCAGCTCGTCACGGTGAGTCTAATGGTGGTCTTTGTTTCACCCTACGTGATCTAGAATTGCCAAAAATTGAGTTTGAAAATTTAACGTCATCATTTTTGAACAGTTTTTTTTTTCGCTATAACTTGGCCAAAAAAAGAGATATCGATCTGAAATTTAGTATGTAGATAGAAGACGGTAGGTTCTATCATATGTTTACCGATTTTTTTCGAAACTCAAAAAACTTTTTTGATTTTTTGGGTAATATATCAAATTTAATTTTTCATTTTTGGGGGTCAAAAATCAAAGATTTCAAAAATTTAAGATAGCAATTTTGTAGCCCTGTTGATTTCACACCTTTTATGTCAATATCATTTTTCTGTATCTTCAAAGCTGTAGGTCTGATAGCTCTTCTCGCGAAGCTCTTTTTTCGGTCGAAAATGGCAGAACATTACGTCATTCTGACGTCATTTGTGGCCAATCTACCATAGCCTCTGGAAATGTTTTTGGTCACAATGTGTAAAATTGAATATTGATGCCCGGAGAAGTCTTGAAAGTTTGGTGGCGATAGCTGCAGCCGTTTAGGAGATATTGACGGAAAAGAACAGGGGGCCGTTTCGGCCCCGCCCCCCCCCCCCCTTAAAAGGCAGACATTAATATGTAAGGTGATATTTGCGAGCAAGACAAAAATAAAAAGTAAGCTGCGAAAGAGCGTCATCAAAACACCACACCGTCTCGTTATGCACCATTGCTGCCAAGCTTCATTCTGAGCTCTGAACCAATTCATCGCGTCTTATCTACATATGTTATAGTACTCGTATATGGCTGTTGTTTCGTCGTTTTCGCATTTTACCGAGGTAGTTTGCAACAACCCTAGGGAGTTTGCAAACTAACTAGGGACTTTGTAAACTACCTAGGGAGTTTGCAAACTACCTGATCGTCCAGGGAGTTTGCAAACTCCCTAAGTAGTTTGCAAACTAACTGATTTCTCATACTCCCTGTAACATATACATAATATGAATGACTAGCGACTAAAAAAGATGGAATTTGATGCTTCAAGGGTTCAAGCTGCTCTCCCTAACCCTAAACGTTTGGCGACGTGTTTGTCTTCATTTTGACGACCTTTCAGATACCGTTTGCCGCTTTACGTGGCCCGGTAAGTCGAATTGAGTCGAATGAGATGGGGAATGAGCATAGCACAAGACGTTCCCACCCAACCAAAAGTCCGTACAGCGAAGCCGGAGAGACCTATGAAAACAGCATTTGATTCGCATTTAGGTATGTGGGCTACCTTAAAACATCTTTGACCTCAAAATGGTGTTGGTCTAAACAAGCAATGTAAGAGATGGTGTCCACATATTGTGGCCGCGTTGCGGTCTTTCCCATCATTTACATAAAACCGGTGCGGCAGCGCAAACGTCATTCGATGCATTATTAATTCGCCTTTGTCATAGGGCAAGTTATCAGTAAATTGTTTACGAAAAATCAAGGGCGGATTAAGATAGTTAATGCGGAATGCCCGGCCGTACCGCAGAAAAAATGGCCGCGGAGCCGTCTCTTTCTGCATTGTCACAGTGCACCTTGCAGTGCACCATCCGTTGTGCAATGAAAAGTTTGGAAAAGTCACCGTCAATGCCTATACCTATTTTAACAACACCTGCAGTGTTTATCCCTTTAGTCCACAATCACATTAGCTCTATCAAACTCGCACTTACTAGGTAATCCCCGCTGACGTCAACGCAGGTCTGGATGGAATCCATCGTACGGATCGGGTCCGCCGGACGACGGTCACGGGCCATTGTACAGGTGAACACCTCCGGCGAACCGTCCCAGTCCACCTCCAGGTTAGTCTGAAACGTCCGAAATCGTGGCACGACTAGATAGTGGGATGTAATGTAGCTCACATTGGCGTCATATTAGCCTTACCGTCAGCACTCAGCACATATGTATGTACATCTCGCCGTCATCACACTCACCTCGCCGTCATCACACTCGACATCATCTTGCATTATCGTCATCTCGTTATTCTGTCCGATACTCTCGTGGTCCCCATGGCGCACGGCGTGACCGACACAGCGGGAGACCCCGAGCGCCAGTAGCAGCGCCGACAGAGGCAGAAGCGAGACCACCCTCATGGTGACTGTGACAGCGTCGGTTCGGGACTGTCACCCCGCCGAGCACCTATTATTAATTCTCGAAAGAAAGACGGTAGTTCCAGCGCGCCCACTCCCGGCCCTCCCACCAATCACTGTCGTCCCCATGGTGTCAAGGCCCGACCAATCACTGTCGTCCCCGGTGTCATGGCCCGACCAATCACTGCACGGCTCCGCCCACTATACCGTCACATAGCACCAATCCATAGGGGCGCGGCGCCGCGCCGGTGCGAGCGCCTCGACGAGAACGTGAAGCGCACACAATAATTAATCGGCTATAAAAGAGACGATTAAAGGTGGCACTTCATTAGCCACTTAGATAAGATATGGAACTGGATATCAGGTAGTAAAGTAGGTAATTAAAAAAAAATGTTTTATCAAAATGAATAATACCCACTACATGTCGCCGTGACATCGAGTCGCTGACTGAACCAATCGACAATACGGACCGCTAACTTGGTCTCGGTTCAAATCAGATGGCAAACCCACTGTGGAAAGGGCTTGAAAAGAACATTTGATTGCTTTGAACATTAGTCAAGATTAGAATGAAAGATATGTTACATTGAACCATGAGCGCTGACCTGACCTTTCACCTGCAATTTTAAGATTACGTTTTATGAGGTATAGGTATAGGTTCAACGTATGCCTACCTTTTTATATAATAGTTGATTGAAGATGCCTAAGAATGGGAGACTGGGGAGAATGGGACACCTTTTTATGTTTTCGTACATTGACTTCGCCTTGCAATGTGAATCCCATCCAGTATTCCGAATCCTGTAAATAAAAGAAATAAATAAATACATTTGTAGGTACGCTAACTTTGACCCGTTTGTAAAAAAGTAATGTAGGTACGGCTCTCGCGAGACTAAGCGGTAGGTTTTGCACTTTTACATTTCCGGTTATATCTCAGAAACTAATCGATCTACGATGAAGCCATTGTACACGATCATGACCGGCTTGTGAACCAACAAGTCGATCGCATCTTCAACACTTAAAAGCTTAAGACGACGAAGATATAGCCTGTAGTACACTAAATTTTCTAGTGCAAACCCTACCGCTAAAACCCGCTAGCCCTGTACGGGGACCCGCAGTTGCTACTGTACAGCGACCCTGAGTAAATTGTCCCAGCACACTCACAGGGAACAAAAATAAGCTGTCAGAGGGCACGCACATAAAACCTCAGCTGCTCTTGTACAGGGACCGGCAGACGATATCAATGTTATCGGTTGTTACTAGACAGGAGAGACGGCTAGAGTTGGGGTTCGTGTACAGTAGCAACTGCGGGTCCCCGTACCTACCTTTTAAGCTTAGCAATTAGCATCTCGTACCAGAATCGCTTGCATTTTCTATAGCAGTTACTTAAACGGTTGATTTCTGCTTCATTCCTAATTTCCTGGCGATCTCACATTTAGGTATAATTATAGTGTAAAGTTTTATGATAGCGGCCTTTTAATCAATAAAAGAGCTTGGTATACGCAGTAGAAAACGGAAACGAGAAGACCATGATAAGCGTAGCTGAGCAAGGAGCATTGAGGCGACTAGTCATACTGACAATTCTGAAAGCATATACAGGGTGTCTCACAAAAAGTGTACATATTTGTTTTGTAAATAGCTCCGTAAGTTAAAAACATACGTAAAAAACACAAATATCGCTGGAAAGCACAAAGCTTGCAAATTTATTCGCATATCATTTGCACGTCTTCATATTCACATACCGAATCAGTTTCCCATACTCAAGCTATGCGCTCATTTTTTTAGATGCTCAAAATGACAGCCTTTGCGCTCAGCGCACGTGGTGGCGCGCCTCATGGTCTCCTGAGCTACACGGGCGCATGTCTCCATGGTTATCCCGCGTATGGCTCCTCTGATGGCCTTTTTGAGCTCGTCTAGCGTGTGCGGCGCCTTCACGTACACGACATCCTTCAGATACCCCCATAGATAGAAATCCATGGGGGTGAGGTCGGGTGAGTGGGGTGGCCAGCTGTGGGGGGCCCGCCTGGAGATCAGCCGGCTTCCCAGGCGCTCGGTCAGCCAGGCCAGCGTGGCTCTTGACGTGTGCGCTGGAGCGCCGTCCTGCTGGAACCATTGCAGGCAAATGGTGTCCGCGCACTTGCTGTTGAGAGACCGCCAAAAGCGCTTCAACACTTCCAGATAACGGTCTGAAGTCACCGTCACTGCTTCTCCGTCACCGTCTTCAAAGAAGATCGGTCCGATTATGCCCTGGGCGCTAAGCGCGCACCAGACCGTCACTTTTGGAGAATGTAATGGGACTTCCAATGTCTTCTCTGGCGGGTGTTTGCCCCAGTGTCTGTGGTTTTGACGATTAGGTAAGCCGTGAAGGTAAAAGTGTGCCTCGTCGGACCACCAAATGTTGCCGATGAAACTGGGGCAAGACGAGCACTTTCCTAAAAACCAACGGCAAAAGTCCAACCGTTGTAGGCAATCAGACTTGGAAAGCTCTTGAGATGTTGATAGTCTGTATGCCTTAAGCTTCAGGTCCTTCCTAAGAATCCGATGCGTGGAACAGCGGCTGAGTCCAACTTGTTGCGCAAGGTGCCGCACGGACACTCCAGGCTTTTCCTCAACTCGCCGAATGACTTGTCCGATTTTCAAAGGTGTTCGGGCAGTTATCTTGCGGCCGCTGTTTCCAGTGTTTTGATTTCCGACTGTTCCGTGAGCCAAGAAATGTTCAGTAAGCCGTTTTATTGTGTTTGCCGGCGGTTTCTCTCTTATTGTAGGGAAATGAGCCCTAAATTTCCTCTGAGTCAATACCAGGGAACCGGTTTGAAGGTAAAATTTCACGATTATTTTCCTTTCTTCTTCACTTAACTGTCTCATGACTCTCACTAACAAATTGTATGCACTGAACTCTAATATATACTGGAAGGAGCATTGGTGACTTGTTTTTGTCTATCGATTTCCGCCATGTTGTGTATACCAGAAATATAAATTGCATGTACGGTAGCAGAGGTGCAGTTAAGTGAGAGGTACACTACTCAAAAGTGCTGCTGCTTCATGCTTGCAGTTTGATTGCAGTGATCAACTTTTCAAGACTTTGGTATACACAACATGGCGGAAATCGTTAGACATTCTGGCCCATATACGGCCAAGGCGAGTGCCTCCCCCTGATTGTATGTCAAACAAGTATGTCAAATAAATTTGCACGAGCTAAGCTTCAATTTAAGCCTGAATTTGACGTGAGCGCGTGCTTATATGCTGAAATATCTTCATTTTAAATGTGTACACTTTTTGTGAGACACCCTGTATGTATAGGTATATTTAAGGAAAGCATGTGTGTGACGCCCTATGTATACCTAAGTATGTGCCGTCCTATAAGTATGAATAAGTATGAGTATGGCATTCAACATAGGGGAAGCCGGGGGAAGCCCGGCATAGTAAGCTCTTTTTCATTTTTATTACATACCATACGTGCTGTATAAAATGTTGATATCCTATTAGCTAGCTAAGTTCATTGGCCGTGTTTTCCCAAAAATTCGGTTTCGTGGAATAAGTATAAGGTTGAGAAAATCGAGTTTTAAAAAAGTGTTGATTTTTCTGGGGTAAGCCCGGCATAGGGGTAACGCCGGCCACCTCCCCAGCGCTTTACAACGAGTTGATGAAACCATTATGTGTCTTCCAAATATTAACGGAAAGTGAAATACTAAGGTACTGATTAGCTCTGGACATCTTAGAGTTTATGTCACTACTGGTATTTTAGCTAGCTTCTACCACATCCTACAGTTCAGGTCGATGAAAATCGTGATGCAAAATTGACAAAAAATGTGTATTTCAAATTTCCTTAAAATTTATTTTTCTTTTTACCTTAATGCATCATATTGCATATCATTCGACTCGGCTGATGAAGAAGAACACAACGACACCATTTTTGAAGCTCTAGCTTCATTGTCTGTCGCGTTATCTGCAAAAACGTAGTTTGACCCTAGTTGACCTTAAGTGACATGACTGGCTTTGTTTATGATAACATGTTTATTTTCGAAATTTATCTTTGATCTAGGTGTAAACCAAACCTGCTCAGTACCTATTATCTCATGGAAAACAGTGGTTTAGTGGCATTGCTCTCGGTTGGGGGTAAGCTTGGCCACTCGCCCGGGGTTACCCCAATGTGCTAATTTTTATTTTAGAACAGCGATATTCGAAAAAATGTCATACTTAAGCCAGCCTGCCTCGTCACCCCTCACTACAAACACTTAAACGGTCCTTACATAACATTCGTATATATATTAGTACTGTATGGTATAACATTAACAGTGCAACATATCTCACATTTTAGCTAAAAACCCTTAAAATATCATTTTTGCGCTATAACTTTAACAATATGCAATTTTTGTTAGCCTTAACTTGTTTGCTGGCGTTACCTTAGCTGCCACGCTGAAAGGACAAACAGTTGAGCATTTTATTGTGAATAATTTAGCCGGAAACGGGGTGGCCGGGCTTCCCCCGCGCCCGGGCTTCCCCCGGCTTCCCCTACTCGTAATTCGATATACCTAGGTATTAGAGGTGGCAAAATGTGGACCCGAGGACCCGGTCCAAAGAACCAGTCTGCACCCATATGGGTCCACACCGGTTCCTGGAAATTTTCTGACGGGACCAACCGGGTCCTACCATAAACCAACATATTGCACACTACACATTAACACATGGTTGCAAAATAGGAAGTGAATGGAAAGAAAACATTTGCTCATGTATGTTTTTTGGTACACTGTAGAGTGTAGCTCATGAGTATTTTGAGTGGAAAAAAACTGTTTTACATGATGCAACTAATGATACCTAAAAATAGTTCGTATTAATTGACTTTTGTGAGTTTTGGGGAACGGGTCCAACTGGTTCCGAAATCCGATTCCAACTTAGACCGGGTCCGACTGGTTCCAGAAATGTGCAGTCGGGTCCAGTTCGAGTCTGGTTCACAAAATTTTCACCTTTTGTCACCTCTAATAGGTATAGGCACCGGCTACCCAGCGCCATGACGCCGGCCATTTGTTACGTGTCACATGTTGTGCTGTCAGCTGTGTCAATACAGTCGCGGTACGTCGGACGGTCTCGCCCACATGTTCAGACGGGTGTGTGCGCCTGT